TATGTGTCTGTAATACTATAATTATACCAAAATATGTTCAAATTGAATATTTCAACACAACACAATTGGAACTCAACATTTAACTTGCATCCAAATGAACATGTAAAACATCATTTATGCATATTTACATACCAAAATAGTTTTAAATGCAATCCATTGGCCTCTAATGCCTTCTTCCTATAACCATAATTGACTCAACACAATTTGCTCCAAATTGATCCTTGGAGCCTCAATGGAACCTAAAATAACCAATATTCCATGTGAATTCCTTTTAATTTCATAATTCAAAACTAGTCTAGAAAAATCCCAATTAGTTCCTAAAAACCATATTCAAATTCAACCAATAAACTTCTAAACTTAAATTCACAACCTTTATAGCTTAAATCAAGTGAGTCCTTACCTTCGTGAGCTTATTGAGGAGAATTTCCACCAAAACCCTTAGTGTAGAGAGAAAAATTAAGCTAAAATCATAGAGAGATAACATTAGAATCAACACTAGTTGAATTCAAAGCTTGGGAAGCGATAACCTCACCTTAAATCCAAATCCTAACACTTTAATTTGACCAAATTTGATAGGAAATTGAAGGGAGAAACAAGAGAAAGGGTTTAAAGTGAAAAGAGGAAAGAAAGGCATGAGAAGCAAAGAAAAATGAAATAAACAGATAGGCCAAAGTTCACTTGAAAACTTGTAAAAGGTCAATTCATCTGGGACAAATTGCATAATTAACCTTCTTTTACTAAGTTTCTTACTTGTCCTTTGAATGCCTCTTTTCACTCTAATTAGTAAGCTTAAAAGATAAATCTAAGAATATTTGATTTGGTAAAGAGTGTTTCATGAGCTTACTAAGTGAATTTTCCATTTTGCCCCTATATACTCAATGGAGGTTTAATAGACAGACTCATAATGGACAACAAAGTACAACTCAAAGAAAAAGTGACATCTATCAAATGCCTTATCAACCACCTACCATGGAATAGATGTAGCGCTCTTTAAAGTATGATGAGCAAAGTAGTCTACTAATCTAAAATAAATAAATGCAACTTAAGTGTGTGAGTTATATAACTTAGTGAGCAAATACAGGAAAGGAGAACAATCTAAATAGAAAAGTGTTTCAATAAAATGTATTTTTATAAAAAAAATGCAAATATAAGTTCAAACCTTAATTTTTCTCATATTTCATAGCATGAAGTTATCATAACTGATTTAGAAGGTTCTAAGCATAACCAAAATCTTTGTTTAGTTTGAAGTAACCAAGTAAAAAAATCCCAAAATCCATTTAAAAATGTGAAAAATCATAAATAAGCCTTAAGTATCGATACCTTATTCAAGGCAATTGATACTTGTTAAGCAAAATGCCTCCTAAAGCATTTAGGACACAAGGTATCGATACTTATACCAAAAGTATCAATATTGTCAACAAAAAGAGATTAAAAAGTTTCAAGTATTGATACCTTTCAAGTATTGATACCTTTGTCAAAGGTATCGATACTTTCAACACAGGATGCATTTTTGGGCATTCTGTTGGGCAAGTGTTAACAATTCATTTAAGAGATATCGATACCTTTTTCGTAAATTCCTAGATTTCAACTTTTAACAACCCTTTTATGCCTAAAACAAAGTATACAAACATTCTTTTATCAAAATTCTCAAAATTTGGAAGGAATTCAGATGTAAAACATGATCAATACTAGATTCTTCCAAGTCAATATATGAAATTAATATAAAAGCCTTCCATTCTCAAATTCAAGTCATAAAATTGGCATTCAAAAGTATCAAACTTCGTTTAACAAAATTGAAATGTTTGTGGAGATCTAACTTAAGACGAAGAAAAGAGAACAAAAAATAATGGTATAGTTCCCACTATCTTGACATTACAGATGGCATCGTAACACCAGTATAGTCCAGTGCACATAGCCATCGGCATTAAAATTGAACAGAGGATGATGATACAATTGCCATTATCTAGAAAATACAGTGGATAACGGTACAATCCCAACTATCTAGACAACATAGAGAGTGTCGTCACACCAATATAGCTAAGTGCATATAGCCATTGACATCAGAATAAACAAATTATTATATACAACGGCTAGCTTCTACTATCGCTAACTACAAGTCCTTAACTTAATAGGCTCCACTAATTTATCAGAAATGAAATTTCATCTTATCTAGATAGAAAGTCATTAAGTGAACTTATTCACTTATAGAAATCAGAAATATTGAGACATGAATTCAATCAATGTCTTCAACTCAAACTTATTTACCAAAACAAATTATCCCTATACTAGGAATGATTCAAACGCTATCTAACGTAAGTTTTTCAAATTCATACATAATCATAATCATTAACAAAATTTAGAATTTTGAGGTATTAAAACATTAAAGGTGCTTGTCCCTATGCACAAAACTAACAACATAATATTCATATTTACATATCATATACATATACCTTTTCAAAACATATTTAAGCAAGGCATTTGTCATCAAAGTCTTTCACATAACCCATATAATCAAAATCAGTATTTGATGTTAATCCTTAGACAAGGCATACTTATAATTACATCAAAATATTTAAAAACATCATATATATATATATATATGTATATTCACAAATATGATGAACACCTTTCCTCCAATTCTTCCAACCAACACCAACTTATCCACAATCAGATACCAAGTCCTTAACAGTACCTATAACAATTATCCCATCCATAACCGCATAAAGTCCATAAATTTTGTAATAGTTTTATCCTTCCACCAAACCCTAACCAATCTCTCCATAAACCTAAAATCAGCATCTAATATTCACCCTAATCATGATTCCATAGTATAAATAACCAAAGCTCATATTAATCTTACCTTGTTGAGCTTGTGGTATCCAAAATCAACCAAACCAAGAGTTTTAAAGAAAAATGGATTTTTAGAAAATGTTCAAATTTGGAAATGAAAACCAAGAGATTTGATGTTTAGGAAACTAAAATCTCACCGCCAAAACATTCAGAAACAAGATTCAAAGCTGAAATCCAAGTTTCTTTGGTGAGAAAATGAAAGAGCAAGATGAGAGAAAGAGTAAACAGAGAAGAAAGAGAGGTAAAGAAAGAAGTGAGAAAAGAGAAAATAAAAAGTGCTGCAGGTTGCTTGAACTTTGGAGGGTTAAAAGACTTGTAAAATTATCATATTGTCCTTAATTTTTTTTTTGTCAAATGTGGCGTAGGTGTTGATACTTAGGACATAAGTATTGATACTTTTCAATTTGGGCGCAAGTATTGATATTATCGAAATAAGTATTGATATTTGTTCATCAATGTGCCTTTTAGGGTTTTAGGTATCGATACTTCATTCAAATGTATCAATACCTTCTTAACAGAATGTCATTTTTAAGTTCAAAACATGCCCCAATTGGCTCTCTATGCTGCCTATCTTTCAAATAGACTTGGTAGTTCATGAAATATACATTCTCTACGCAATAAACTTGCCAAAATTTAAATTGGAATTATTTTATCAAAAGTTCACCAAGCGAAATTAAATTTCTATCCTTATAATAAAGTAAGGGGTTTCACATAAAAATAGGAGTGCTATGTGCTAGAACATTAAGAGAGAAAATGTTTTGAATGAAAGTTCAGCCACCATTCTCTACTCTAACTTACTGCAGAAAATTCTATCAAACAAAAACTCTCTAAATCCAATATAATCTTGCATATGGATCAAAAACCAACTCTAGGGACCAGCCAACAGTTTATTCCGTTCAAACTTGGAATAGTAGTTAATTAATCACTCATCCGAACGGCTATTCCATGTCCATTAGGAACCAGCATCAAATACCAAATTTTGGACTGCGAAAGACTAACATGGTGATTTGGCAGCTAAAAGCCATCGCGTTGCCAAAACGGCAAACCAAGGGCCAAATGTGGTTTCCTAGCAGCACCAAAATGCTGCCCTTGTTGCTGATTGGTTGTTTGGAGCGCAACAGTGCCCTTGCGAATGGATTTGGCGACTTAATTTGGTTAATCTGACCACTATCTAAACCTATATGGCTAATCGGTGAGAGTTGGCTAGAGGGTTTTTAGTTGTACTAAACAAATGAATTAAAAATTGAAAGAAAATAAAAAAGAAACAAAAGAGAGTAAAAAACAAGAAAAATAAAGAAAAATTAATTAAAAAAAACATGGAGTAGAAAAAAAATAAAAATAAAAATATATTTGATCTTTTATGAATAAATTTTTATTTTTTTAAAAGGTAAAATAGAGTTTTTGAGATTATTCCTTTTAAATTCCTTAAAATTATTCCAATGAACCAAACATACTCATAACATTCCTTTCCTATTCTGTCCTTCCTATTCTATTAATATTCTCATAAAATAACCATTCAATTCTAACCATATTTCATTTAACAAACCAAACATTGACGTTAGGGTTTTTTCCCCTCAAAATTAAATTAAAACTACTTAAATGGCCACTTACTCTCTTTTTTCAAATCCAACCGGTTTGGTTTGACTATAGTTGTCAAATGGGTATGTTTCGTCCACATGTTCAAATTAGTCAAATTTAAGTTAATTGTAAAATAGTTTATTGTAAATTCTTTAGAAACACAGTCAAGCTCAAATTTTAGCCAAACAAGGGTCTAGTTTCATCGAAAAATATCTTAAAATAAACAATTATTGGAAAATCATGAAGAAGAAAATTTCACCATGAAAAGCATTTCAAAACAGCTTAATGAAATTTTTCTTCAAAAGCCCTAAGCTAAAGGACGTAGCCATAAATAGAAGCATAAAATCACAGACTTAAAATTTCTAAATTTTAATGAAAATATGGTAACTTTAACTTCTTGTGACAGCCGGTTGTCTTTAGCTGCGTGAATACTGAATGAGGAAGCTAAACTGTTATACATGCCGTCTACCATGTCTATGTGCCACCCTTTGCCTCCATACATTCACCCTCTACTTTTCAGGGTGTCAGCTTTTGGTACATGACCTTTTGGGGCTTTGTAAGCAAGTGGAGTAATGGCGAATTGCAGAAAGCCTTCTGAAAACCACTGGATCGTAGGGCGAAGGCCTTTTCTAGGAGGGTAAAAGATAAAGTGGAAGTAAGTGCAATTATAAATCAATTAATCAAATCCTTAATTCCGAAACTCAAAATTATTGTAGGTTTGACAAAAATGTATTTAATTAATGAAAATTTCATGAATTTCACTTATGCTGTCCTTGGAAAGCTAATTTCTTGGATTGGGGTTTGAATTGTAATTAACATCTTCAATTTACATTTTTATCTAAATTCTTGCAGTTTAAACCCTTTATTTTGATAAATATAGAATTTGAAATTCTACATTTTTAATAATCTTAAATTTGAGAAGGGTGAAAAATAATTATAAATTTTAAAATTTGTACATGTTAAACTATTTATTTGATTAATATAGTCCAAATCCAAGCCTACATCTTATTCCTCCAATATATATAGAATTTCAAATAAATCATTAGTATTTCCTTTTTTTTTCAATTAAGAAAATGGGATATTCAAGCCTGACTTTTTAAGTAGGTTAAGTATACGCATTTATCAGTGAGTCAATATTTGGAAGCAATTAACTAAACTATTACAATTAGTCAAAATTAATAAATTTTTTGCATGGAATTTTATATATATATATACGTTGGCAAGTTTAGACTGTTCCATATTATGACCAATTAAATTGAAAGCAATTAATAAGGTTCGGTGAAGGTTGTGATCAGGAGATGTTGATGTATCAAAAGCTTTACCGTAAATCCGAGGTACCATAGTTAATGTCTCCTTCTTTGCTACTCAACGCAGGCTTCACTTTTCTCTATTCCTCTCTATTCCTTTTGCCTCTCTCTCTCCCTTTCTCAGGTTAGCTTTCCGTAGTATTTAATATGAGTTCTCGATCTCTTGTTGTCTCCTACCTAGCTTGTTCATTTTCCTTTTGTTTCTTTCGTCACATTTTGTTGAAGTCTTGGAGCAATGAGATTAGCTCTTCTCTGTGTTTTGGTAGGTCTATTGATTTTTGCGAGGGTTGGGACGCCTGATGCGGTGGCAGAGAAGACTTGGCCATCTGCTGGGGAGCATGGGCCTACCAAGGCTGCCTTAAACAGGTACTTCTTAACCACTTGGAGAAAGAACATCACTTCGGAGGGCAAGCGAGTTGTTCCAACCGGTCCAAATCCCTTACATAATAGGTAGAGATTAGAGATGAAATACATTTACAATTTAAAAACAAGATACAGCACTTCCATGGGGTTGCACTTTAACTGTTAACAGTTTTAGGTATCGGTTTCCTGGAATCGCCAATGTGATTTGGTGCTGTAGAGTAGAATACTGGAATTGCATTCCTCTTTTCCTTGTGGATCCGAATGTAGATTCCCGTTGGCCAGAGCAACTTCTAGGTTTCGCGCTTTTTTTAAGAATGCACTTCTTCTAAAAGTTGTAACCTTTCAACTAACTCATTAATCCATCCATTTTGTTTCTCTTTATTTATTCTGTTTATCCTATATATATATATATATATATATTAACTTAGAGATATATGCATATATCCGCTCAAAGAGTTTGGATTAAATCTCTCCTACCACAATAATAATATCACCCATTCAATCTTGTTTTATTTAATTGTTGGGTATCTTATTTTTGGTAAAAAATGGGGTATGATTGCCGAAGTTAAAAAAAAAAAAGAAAAGAAAAAGAGGGGACAAACAGTTTGTATAATATATACTTATGAGTATTATTATCCTTTATACCGAAAATCTTTATCCAAATTCTAGCAATATATTTTTACTCAAATATTGAGAAATTTGGGTTGGATTTCAAATTGTTCTCAATGGATATGTTTCTTGGTTCGAAAAGTAATAGTAAATTCTCTTTCAAAAGGAGCTTTATCACTAGATATGTTGCCTACGCCTAACTTTTTACTTGAATAATTTTAAGGGTGTATTATTTTACAAATTGACATCGTCCATTTAAGATTTTACTTTTAAGTATTCGCGTTAATAAGAAAATGGCACTCCTTTCCTTATTAAAAAGAAATTTTAATGCAACATTTAACTTTTTTTTTTTCTTGGCAAGGTAAACTATAAAAGATGTCCTAGAAACACCCAAAAATTACACTCTAGTCCTTATTTTTTTAAAATTTGCAATTTTCCTTTGACGTTTAGGTCTGTTGTTAATATGTTGATGGAATGTGGTTTATCCATACCACGTGAGTTTTTTTTATCTTCACAAATAAAAATATGTTGTGTCTTTTATGTGTTAAATTAATTTTATGTTCTTATATCTTCCCCAAAAATGAAAATATGTTTGGTGGTGGTTATTTCATAAGGGATATGAATGATAAAGTTTCCTCAAAAATAATTTTTCATTGAAAGAAATTACAACTTTCTCCTAAAAATTTACACCAACTTTTGCAAACTACCATCTCCTTAAACAGTGATCCACACCTCTAACCAATATTTCTTTAATTAAAACATTTATAGATCTCGATTTTTTCCCACTATTGTAGATCTCAATTTTTAATGATATAAAAGAGGCTTTAAATTTAGACTCTTTAGTGCATTTAGATAGGAAATTCCAATAAAGAAATTCATTTATAGAGAAAATTTCGAAAATTCTAAAATTAAATTACCTTATTTGGTAAAATAAAAGTTAAAATCGTTAAAATTCTTGAAATTTGGATGAGGGATTTTGGAGGACCCAAATTCTCATGTCAAATTCTATCTCTAGAGGTGAAATTAGAGAAAATTATTGATTTTATTTAATAAGATACCAACAATTATTATGTTTCCCTTTTAATGCAACATTTATTTTTTTAACTCTAATTACAAATATTCGTTTTTTTTTACCTTTTCTTAATAGTAAGATCTATATATTTTTACAAATCTAATGACATCTCTATTGCATATATATTTTTCTTCATTCTTATTTTTATAACCCCAGCAGCATTATTTATCTTTTATAATTATTTTTCATCATATCAAATTCAAATAATACTCAAAATTTTGTTAGAAAAACTACTTATCCAAATCATACAATTATAAATGTCCTTTATTTTTAAAATTCTTTAAAATTTTGAAATTTCTCGTTTCAAATGCACTCTTTGATATTTCCAAAGAGAACTCATTATTTTCTTTAGGTCCAAAAAAAACCTTTTAAAGTTTTCTTTAAAGCTTCCCTAAATCTTGTATTCTTATTTAGTTCAATAAATTCCTAATTTCTCAAAATCATGACCGCTTTTTGAAGAGATTTGTTTTTATTTGAAATTAGATTTGTGGGCTATTCCAATGGTTTTAGTTCAGTCATTTCAAATGTAAGCGGGATGGGTATCACTCCTATCCCTTGCCATGGTTTTAGTTTCAGTCACCCATCAATTGATGAGTCCCTCAAAGTCTTGAGCTTTACGAGCAACCGATACTCCTCGTGTAAAGCACCAAGCTCTTGCTCTATTATGGCACACCTCATTTTGGGAAGAATAGGAGCATAAATTTTGTTTCCAAAAGATTTTTCTTTTGCTAAATTTGATATCAGTTTAAACTTATTAAGCAATAAGACTAAGGAAAACATAAAACACTAACAAAACTTTCACCAAACGTAGAGAAAGGGTAGATCAGGAGATTTTGTCTACAGTAAGGTCGACCTTACTTTAATGTCATTACTATCTCAAAATAATAAAAAATTAAAAAAATAAAGAAAGTAATTAAAATAGATTAATAGGTAATTTTAAAAAATAAAGTAGGTATATATATTTTTTATTTATTTTATTCATTTAACAAACAAAATAAATACTCTATCTTACTTTTCATATACACGTTTTCATAATTTTTTACAAATAAATATATTACAATTAAAATTTTAACATAACCTGTTTGATCAGAATTGGAGTATACCCGAAGAAGAGTGGAGACATATCGTGGATGACTTTCTAGCCTCCTTTAGTACAAGCAGGCATTCATTTCTTGAATTGTTCACTTTCTGTCTTTTGGATGATCACTCAGATGAGGCTTTGCTAAAATCTGTTGAGATTTTAGGAGAAAACAAAATTTCTAAAAAATGAAGAACATTGAAGTATGGATGAAGAAAAATGAGAGAAGAAAGAGTATGCTTTAAATCAACGAATCAGCAAATTGCATTAGAATTTTTCATTCCATATTTTTCTTATATATTCATCAACTATAATGAAAAATTAATTGAGGCCTTAGATGTAGCCTTGGGAAAATAAAATTGAGCAACGGTAGGCTAGGCATAGAAAACCAAGCATGGTTTTCAATGTCAAACAACGATTAACAGAGGAATAAAGCACATGGCTACTAGGCATTACAAACGAACAAAATGACACCTGGCTTTGGCGTTTAAGCCTTTCTTAAATGAAACGAGACACCTATTTGACGTTTAGATAGGAAAGACCCAAGGAAATAACAAAACAACACTACCAACTTGCATATAACTAGGCATAAATTGGTAAAGTTAAAATGCCTTCGTTTTGTAACTAAAGTTTACCTTCTTCAATATTCAAGCAAATGTTACTTCCCTCAAAAACTCTACTTCTTTTGTTTTACTAGATTAAGATCATTTTCCAACACACCCCATGATCATTAGTCTAGTAAACACCCAAATAAGATCTCAGAGTTTCGAATCTGTCTTTGATTAGACTTTTGGTGAAGATATCAATCAATGGAGCATTAGTGTGGTAGTATTCAAGCTCAATTTCTTGATCTTTAACAGCATCCCTAAACGCATGAAACTTCACTCTGATATGCTTTATGCCCCCATGTTGTATTGGATTTTTGTCTATGGCAGTTGTAGATTGGTTGTGCACATGCAACATTGTGACTTGACTTGACTGAATCCCAAATTAGAAAATACCTTTCTTAACCATTGAGCATGATTTGTTGCTGCAACAGTGGCAATGTACTCAACCTCAGTTGATGACTCGGTCGCTACCTCTAACTTTTTCGAGTTCCATGTGAAAACTCCACTTCCAAGAGAAAAACAAAATCCTTCTGTACTATTTGAATCACCACAAATCTTGCTGAATCACTATCATTGTAGCCTTGTAGCTCATTGCTTTTTTACTTCAAATACCTTAGACCAAAGTCAACAGTACCTTTCACATATCTAAGAACTCTTTTTATAACTGCAAAATGCAATATTAAAGGAGATTGCATATATCTTGACAGTAAGCTTCTGGCAAACATGATATCTGGTCTTGTTGCTGATAAGTACAACAAGACCCAATCATGCTTTTATAAAGTAGTCCATCAGTTTCTGTTGACCCATCATTTTTAGAAAGTTTGCAACTTGCAATGAGTGAGGTGTGAATAAGTTTGTAGAAGCTTATATTAAACCTTTTTAACAAGTCCTTTGCATACTTGCTTTGATGTAGTATAATATGACTAGTAGCTTGTCGAACTTCTATACCTAAAAAGTAGGTCATTAATCTTAGATCAATCATCTCAAACACAATAATCATTTAATCTTTGAACTCCTTTAAATAACCCTCATTAGGTCTTGTAATCAATATAAGGCTACAATGAGTATGATTGAGTTATTTGAGTTTTTTACATAGAGTGTGGGCTCAATTACGCTCCTATTGAAGACTAGGCTACAGAAATGCTCATCAATCCTTTCATACTAGGCTCTAAGAACCTACTTAAGGTAATAGAAAGCCTTAATCAACATGCAAACTTTGTTTTCTAATCTTGGTTCTTTATATCCCTTGGATTAATCTATGTAAATGTCTTTTGGCAATATTCCATGTAAGAATGCAGACTTGACATTCGGATGAAAGATTCTCCAACCTTCCCTAGCTGACAAGGCAACTAGTAATCTTATAGTGTTGTGTCTGGCAACAAGGGCAAAAGCCTCAAAATAGTCAATACCATATGTTTGTGAATAGCCTTTCGCACTAACCTTGCTTTGTACTTGTTGATTGAACTGTGAAGATTCAATTTTGTTCTATAAATCCACTTGACTCTAATAACACTTTGATCCTGAGGCCTATCAACAACAATCCAAGTCTAATTCTTTTTATTCATATTGATTTCAGCATCCATTATAAGGCTCCAATTTGCATTAAATTAACTCCAGTGAAGCTTGAAGAATCTAAAATGGCAACATTACACCTACTGAAGATATCCAGAAGTGTTCTTGTTCCTCTTATTGCCAAACTTTCATCTTTTGTATCAATTGAATCACTGTCATCAAATTGCAATTAATCTTCATTAGAAGAAATTTCATTTTCAGAATTGTCTACAATCTCATTTTTCCAACTTCATTTTTTCCCCTCATCAAGAACAATATCTTTACTAATGAATAGCTTCTTAACATTAATGCCATACAATCCATAACCTTCAGAAGACTCACTATAGCCAAAATGTATAGCCATGACTAATTTAAAGTTTGATTTAGTTCTTTTCTCATTTAATACATTAGCATAGCAGATGCAACCAAAAGTTTTCAAAT